GTACTACTTTAAAGTAGTACGCTTTAGTCTGTTCTGTTGGTGTGACTTTTTTCCATTGAAAACTCACGTTTAGAGAATGTTACAAATAAAAGTCAAATTTCATTCAACATGCGTGTATTTTTTTTTATAATTAAGTGTTCCACGTGCGCTAAAAAAGGCACACCCCCCCCCACCCCCCTCCTGAGCACCTGCCCCCCAAAATGACTGTGCACGCCTCTGACTACAGGGGACAGAGTGCTTTCATTGGGGTTGTTATAAACAGTGAAGTAAAAGTTGTTATACAGTGTGTGGTGTTCACAACAATCCACAAGACATTTCGCTTTCCATACAAAAATGTCAGAAGTAGCGCTGAGTTTGAGGTCTTTATACAGTAGCCCAACTAAGCCTTTTTTTTGTTTTGAAAACATGCAAATTGAAACGGACGAAGGGGTCCACCCCTTTGGAATGGGGGTCGTTTGGCTTCTTTTGTTAGCCTGCAATGCCCCATACCCGTCCGCAGGTCATCTGTGTGTGTCGCACTGATTGCAAATGTGCCTCCGCCCCTTCTGCAGACACTCTGCTGCTCCTCTTCAGAATTGTAGGTGACGCAGACAGTGCCGCAGACACGAGGCCTCTGATTGGTCAAATCTACATCTGCAGAACCTTAGCGGCTTGTCTTGTTTGAATGACCGCCATTGTGGAAAACGACTCGTGAAGATGGACCAGCTAGAAGAGCAAATTGCGTTAGAACGCTGGGACCTTTTTTCTACCTGGATCCCCGCTCTTTTTCACCATCAATTGTCAGACAAACTTGCCCCCAATTCCTCACCAGACGCAATGCTACTTCGTAATTGTCCCTCTTGCGTTGTGGAGTGGAATAACATAGCGCAGACCACACTTCAATATTAGGCATAAATCAAAAATATATACATCAAGACCACTGCGACACACTACCACGGGAGTGTAACCAGTTCTTTAGTGTCTAAAAGGGGGGTCGTGTCTGAATAGGCGAGGTCCTCTGCTCTCCTGTACAGGGGCTAGGGCTGAGATGATAGGTCAATTTGAATGTTTTCACAACAAAAACAAGGCTTTGTTGGGCAACTGTATAAGAGCCTCGAACGCAATGCTATTCCTGACATTTTGAATTGAAAAAGCTTCTTGGATGGCAAGCAAAACATCTTCAATCTTGGAAACAAAGTCCAGTGGACTGTTTTTTATTTTCTTTATTTGGAATGACTATGACCGTGGTGAATGAGAATCTTCACCAGCAATTAAATAGAATAGAATAGAAAATCCCTTTATTATCCCACAATGGGAAAATTCTGGTGTTTACAGCAGCAAAAAGATTATAGAAAAAAAATGGTCACCCAAATATTGACCTTAGAAAACAGCATGGTATTTAACTGACTAAGGTAGAAGCTGTGCAAAATAAGCCTTAATGTAACAACCTGTTGAGGTTGTTGGGAACAGTACATCTATCTATCTATCTATCTATCTATCTATCTATCTATCTATCTATCTATCTATCTA